AAGGACCCACATGTACAAAAATATTTATAGCAGCTCTTTTTGTGATAGCAAAAGAATTGAAAATTGAGGGGATGCCCATCAATTGGGGAATGACTGAATAAGTTGTGGTATATGAATGTAATGGTTGTGCTGTAAGAAATGATGAGCATGCAGATTGCAGAAAAAACCTGGAAAGATTTACATGAACTGATGCTGAGTGAAGTGAACAGAACCAGGAGAATATTGTACACAGCAACATTGTGTGATGATTACTATGATAGACTTAGCTCTTCTCAGCAATACAGTGATCCAAGATAATTCTAAAAACCTGTGATGGAAAATGCTAACCACATCCAGAAAAAGAATTATGGAGTCTGATTAGATTGAAGCATACTATTTTCACTTTTTTTTGTTTTCTGTTTTTTCTTTCTAGTGGTTTTTCCCTTTTGTTCTCATTCTTCTTTCACAACATGACTAATGTGGAAATGTTTAACATGATTGTACCTGTATAACCAATATCAGATTGCTTGATGTCTTGGGGAGGAGGGAGGGTAGGAAGGGAAGGAGAAAAATCTGGAACTCAAAATTTTACAAAAATGAATGTTGAAGACTATCTTTACATGCCATTGAAAAAAATACTGTCAAAGGAAAACAGTTCATGTTCTCTGATCAATAGTAATAGAAAGGCTACAATTTGTTTTTATTTTTATAAATATTTTTATAATGCATTTTTTACTGATAGTCTTTTGTTTTGACATCCCCTAAATTTACTATTTCCCTCCCCCTTTCTCTTCCCAGAGGGCCTATCTATATAACAAATACGTTTTTAAGAGGAAGAAAGGGGGGAAAAAACACAGAATTGATCAATGCATTGAAAAAAATCTGACAATATACGCAATGTTCCACACCCGTGGAACCCATTCTTTTGCCAAAGAAAGAGGGGGAGGTGTTTTCTCATGCATCTTCTTTTGGATCATGGTTGTTTTTTCTAATTTTGCAAATTGAGTTTTATTGTTTTGTTGTTCTTTATCTCCATTGTTGTAATCATTGTGTGTATTGTTTTCTTGATTCTGCTTACTTTACTCTGCTTCAGTTTATGCAAACTTTCCATGCTTCTCTGTATTCCCCATGTTTGTCATTTCTTGCAACATAGTTATATTCCGTTTAATTCGTGAACTGCAATTTGTTTAGCCATTCCCCAACTGATGAACTACTTTGTTTTCATTTTTTGCTACCACGAAAGTGATGCTATAAATATTTTGATATATATGAGGACTTTCTTTTTATCAATGACCTCCTTTTGACATATACCTAGTTATAGAATCTCTGGGTCAAAGGTATGGACATTTTAGTCACTTTACATAATTCTAAATTGTTTTCATTGTCTGTTTAGCAAAATGCAGTTTCCCTGCTTATGTCTTTGATTAGATCTGTTTTTGCTTTTGCTTTGTCTGAGATCATTATTGCTACTCCTGCTTTTTTAAAACTTCACCTGAAGCATAATAGATTCTCCTCTACCCCTTTACCTTACTCTACAGGTCTGTCTCTCTGTATCAGATGGATTTCATATAAACAACTTACTGTGGGATTTTGATTTTTAATTCACTCTGCTTCTATTTTATTCACATTCCATTCACATTCACAGTTATGATTACTGTTTATTTCCCTCTATCCCTACTTTTTCCTGTTTATCCTTCCCTTTCTCTTCTTTCCCCCTGTACCTCCTTAAAAGTGTTTTGCTTCTGACCACCACCTCCCCCTAATCTGCCCTCCCCTTCTATCAGCCCCACTCCTTGTTCTCCTCCCTTCCTACTTCCCTGTAGAACAAGATAGATTTCTATGCCCAACTGAATATGAATATTATTTCCTCTTTGAACCAGTTCTGAGGAGAGTAAGATTCAAGCTGCCTGCCACCCCTCCATCTTCCCCGCAACTATAAAAGTTCTTTCACGCCTCTTTTATGTGAGATTTACCCCATTCTACCTCTGCCTTACCCCTTCTACCCTTAATTTTAGTATTTTGGATATCATCCCATCATAGTCCACTCACACCCATGCCCTCTGTCTGTGTACATGTCTTCTAACTGTCCCAATAAAGAAGAAGTTCTTAGGAGTTACAAGTATCATTATCCCATATAGGTTGTAAACAGTTTAACCTTGTTGAATCCTTTATGATTTCTCTTGCCTGTTTACCTTTTTATGATTCTCTTGAGTCTTGTATTTGAAAGTCAGATTTTCTATTCATCTCTGGTCTTTTCATCAGGAATGCTTGAAAGTCCTCAATTTCATTCAGTGTCCCTTCCCTCCCCCCCACAAGGATTATATTCAGTTTTGCTGGGTAGATGGTTCTTGGTGGTCAGCCTAGCTCCTTTGGCCTTTGGCCTTCTGATCCTTTAATGTAGAAGCTGCCAAATGTTGTGTTATGCTGATTGTGGCCTATTCTGGTTTTTAAGGTGTTATTTTTTTCTAGTACTTTTTTTGTGCCTCATTTACCAAGCTGTTGACTTTCGTGTCACTTTTGTTGCTTTTCCCCATTTTTCCTCTGCTCCTCTTATGTGATTTTTAATATCCTTTTTGACCTCTTCCAGGGCCTAAAACCAATTCACATTTTTCTTTGAGGCTTTGCATGTAGCTGCTTTGATCTCATCGTCTTCTTTTGAGTTTGTGTTTTGATCTTCCCCGTCACCATACTAATTTCCCATGGTCAGGTTCTTTTTTTGAGGTTTGCTTACTTTTCCAGCCTTCTTATTTACTTTTCACTTTGTAGTATAGTTGTTCTCTGCTCCTGGGGTGGAGGAGGGATTATCCTAAGCTTCAGGTTTTTAGTGCTGCTGTGTTCAGAGCTCTCTGGGGGTCTGTAAATTTTCGTTCTTCCAAGATGGTATGATTTAAGGAGAAGTGTGGTCAGTGCTTTCCTGGCCCGTGCTCTGATGTGTTAGGAGCCCCAGCCACTCTTCTCCACCATGGAGCTGTGGACAGGATCCCTGTACCTCTGAGGCCGCACACTCAGGTGTGCTAGTGTTCTTCTCCCTCCTCATCCTGGGACTGTGACCCAGAACTGCGTATCGGTAGGGCAGTGAGTCTTTTATCTCCTTCTGGCCATTTCTCTGACCCCTTTACTGTCTGGGGCTGAGATCTCCAGAAGGGACCACCGCAGCTGATTCAGTCACCTCTAAGGCCTGCTGCTAATTTTCTGGGGCCGGGCCTGCTCTGAACTGCACCCCACTTCCACCCTACCAACAATACATTATATCTTTGCACGGCCTGTGCAGCATTTACTGTTCCTGTCTTTTGTCATCTTTGCCAATTTGCTGGTGTGAGATAAAATCCTAGGATTATTTTGATTTATATTTCTCTTAGTAGTGATTTAGAACATTTTTTTCATCTGGTTGTTTCTGGATTACAATTCTTCCTTTGAAAACTGTTTATATTTTTTTATTTTATATATGTGTAGGGTTTGTGTGTCTGTGTTAGTTGTCTGTATATCTTGGATAATAAACTCTTATCTGAGAAATTTGATACAAAAAATTTTTCCCCATTGTATGACTTCTTTTGTTGTTCTAGTTGCATTAATTTTGTTCATGGAGAAGCCTTTCAATTTCATGTAATCCATATTATCAATTTTATCTTTTGTAATTTCATCTGTCTCCTTCTTTGGTTAAGAAAACATTTCCTACCCATAGCTGTGAAAAATATGATTTGCTTCTCTGCTAATTTTTCATGGTATGAATTTTCATATTAAGGTCATGTATCGATTTCAAATTTGTTGTAGAATATGGTATAAGATATTGATTTTAACCTAATTTTTTCCAGATTGCTTTCTAGTTTTCTCAAAGTTCTTATCAAATAGGGAGTCTTTCCTAAGTAATTTATTTGGGGGAGAGGGAGTATTGACCCCTAGGTTATTGAGTTTAATTATTTCTGATTCTCCAATGATTGCATTTTCAAACAAAAAGGAGCACGATTTTTGAAGCTTGCCTAAATATGCACACACATCTTGTCCTGTCTTGGATACATGCTGTTTATTCTTTTGTGGTGATAAGGGTGAACTCATTATGCTTGCCAAGTACTTTACTACCAACTTTATTATTAGTTGAGGAGGGAAGCTGAGAGTACTTACAAAGTGAGCAGGCGAATTTCAGTAGGACTATGACCCTGCAAACTGAGGAAATGAAATTTCTTTGTTGATTTGCTTTGAATTGAACTAATGTGTTCAGAGAGCTGGATACCTGCTTTTACCAATCAATAAAATGACTTTGTAGCAGTTGTTGCAGCTGGGTCTTTTTAAAATTATGAGGCATAATATAAAAGGGCCATTTATACCCCAGTTGTATCCCTTGCATTTTGTTATGTAGTCTGGTTGTCTCTTAATACACAAATGGGACTATTAGTTGTATATGATAACAAATACTTTTAGGATAATATTTCATATTAAAATTAAGTTGGTTTCTCATCTTGTAAAATGAGAAGGTTGAACTAGATATTCTCTTTGGCACCTTCCTGCTCCAGGATTCATTCCCTTTTCTTGATCATTATCACAGAATAGAATCATAATATCATAGAGTTGTAGTTGAAAGAAACTTGGAAAGTCATCTAATTCTAGTAGGACTAAAGTATAGGTCACACAGGGTAGTCAGTGGAAGATCTGAGATTTGAATCTCTTGGGTTCACTGCTGTCTCCAAACCAGCGTTCTTTCCGCTGTACCTCACTGCTTCCCTTAGTGTGGGAGTAAAGTGATTGGATTGAGCACGAGAGGACCTGAGTTTGAATACTGACTACTGCCTACTTCCTGTGTAACCTTTGAGCTGGTTACTTACCTTCTTCAGGTATCATTTTTCTTCATTTCTAAAATGAGGGTCTTATATCATTTGATCTCTAAAATCTCTTCAATTTCTAGGTCTAAGTGTTATGATATTATGAAGGATCATGGGATTACAGGGTTCCATTTATGAAAATTCATTTTGTATGGTTTTTAAGACTTTCCCGATAAGACACTAATATGGAGTTTACTTGCTTTTTAGCTAAGGGACAACCTCACGCTGTTTGAAGAAAGATAAAGTTGAAATTGCTTCACTGAAAACCTTTATTGAAGTCTTACTCCTGCTCAGGCTTAGCTATCCCTTGCCTGCATATGACTTACAGGTATGTCAATAGGAAACTTTCAATTATGTCATATACTGATAATACTAATTTGCTTTACTTAGAAGTAAAAATGCTATTCAGCTCAAAACTATAATGTATTTTTAATTTTCAGTTTCAGAAACTTGAAGTTTTTGAGTGCTTACTATATATTCTTTCTGTTTCTGTTTTTATTTTTAATTTTACATTCTTTTATAGAGTTAGAGCTGGAAGTAACAGTGTAGGTTATCTAGATCTGCCCTCTCATTTTACCAGTGAGGAAACTGGGCCCAGAGATGTTAAGGGAATTACACAGGATCACCTAAATCATGCGTGACTGGATCAGGATTCTAATCCAGGACCTCTGGCCTCCAATCCAATTGTTATTCTATTACATGACCTTTGGGAATATTTTTTTAAGATATTGTACACCAAAATGCAATATATTAAGTTTATATTATTAAAGCCAGTAGTGGTTACTTTTTTTTCTTCTCCCCCGTAACAAGATCGCAGTTGCCTTTGCATGTATCTTTCCTGTAGGATCAGACCACTTATTGAAACAAGCAGGAAGAATTGCATGAAGATAAAGAAGTGCTTTGGGAGCATACTGGGTCCTTTAGTTTACTGAAATGTTTGCTTCCTAACATAATTTTTCCAAGAGTTTGAAAAACAAAATAATTTATCATTCTTTAGACACTCTAATTAGCACTGCAGTATAAAGAATATTTCATTGCAATTTGGAAACACTGTCATAAACCATAAGTCAGTGCACAGTTAATTTCTATTCTTGATGGTTAAATAGCACTTTGTACCTGAAATGAAGAACTGAAGTATCATGTTTGAATATTTAGATGGATGTACAATAGGGTTTTTTTGTTTTTTCTTTTTTTTGGTGAGGCAGTTGGGATTAAGTGACTTGCCTAAGGTCACACAGCTAGTAAGTATCATGTGTCTGAGGCCAGGTTTGAACTCATGTCCTCCAACAATAGGTTTTAAAATAATAAAGTTATGCCTTTGAATCTAAAACCAAGTTATATGCAAAAAATATATACACTTGCATTTGATGTATTAGAAAAATTACATGTGTAAAGAAAGTAGATTTTTAAAAATCTTTAAACAGAAGGTTGTATACATTTAGTCATCAGATTTTGCTTTTTGACTAGCTGCAGAATTCTCCTTAACATTGTAGAATCCCATCTTTTGGGGATGGAAAGGGATCACTCAGCTGTTACTGCTTCCTTGAGGCATACCCTGATTCCCTTTGCCATGCTAGTAGCCATGATTCTTCCTTCCGTACATTTCTCAGGCCACTGTATCTGATCACTCCTATAACTTAGTCATGTTCTAACTTTTATCGTAGTTACTTATATGTGTATCTTCTTTCTACTTTACTTAGTCTCTGCCAGCAAAAAGCTAACAATGTACCATTTTTTTCACTTTTATTGTTGTATCCTCTACATCAAGGACAATCTCATACACAGAACAGACATTTAATATATGTTTACCAAATTAAATTGACCTTTGGCATTTATAGATGAGGAAACTGAGACCCAGAAACACTGTGTGAGTTTCCTCATCCACACAGTTGAACCAGAACTAGAAACCAGGTCTGTTTATATCTCAGTATTCTTTCTACACCATACTGTTATAAGTACAAAGATGAACCCCAGAAATTACAGCATATCTAACTTCATAAAATAATTAAATTCCTTAAAAATGGTACAGAGTGAAATTCTCAAGTTTTCCTGTTTTGTTTTCATGAAATACGAATACTTTGAGGCAGCTCAGTGGATAGGGCACCGGACCTGGAATCAGGAAGACCTGAGTTCAGTCTCTCACTCACAATCAATCACTCTCACAGACACTTACTTGCTGTGTGGCCCTGGGCAAGTCACTTAATCTCTGTTTGCCTTAATCTACTGGAGAAGAAAATGGCAAACCACTCTAGTATCTTCACCATGAAAACTCATATGAGATTACAAAGAGCTGGACATGACTAAACAGCTGAACAACAAGAATAACCAATGCTTTTGTGCCTCTGACGTTTACTAACCGAGTGGCCTTGGGCAAGTGACTTAACCCTCTTCAGCCTTTGTTTCCTCCCCTGTAAATTGAGAGTTGTAACTAGATGGCCTTTGGTTCCTTCTTCTAGCTCTAAATCTCTGATTTGGGATCCTGTGAAGTAGTGAGAAGAACCAGTAGCAGACCAGAAACTGCACCCTCGGTGCTGTCCAGCTTGTGATGAGCAGGGGAGCTCCCTGAATGAACCTAGACAGGTTGAATAAACCTCCATTACCTCCTCTGGACAGTGTCAGGATTGAATTCAGTAAATGTTGATCGATGCCATGATCTTTGAAGTCTGTCTTTTAGAAAGTCGTAATGGAGAGTGTTATTTTTTCAGCTACGGGTTAAGCTGGATGGCCCCCGGAGTCTCTGTCATATCTGCTCTCATTGATTTGAACTTGCCCTTCCTTTCTAGGAAAGCCACAAGCTCCCAGGTTTAGAGCCATGTGGGACCTTGGAGGCCATCCAGTTCAAGTCTCTCATTTTACAGGAAAGGCAAGGAAGCCTGGAGACATTAAGCGATTTGTTCACAGTCATACAGGTAGCAAGTGGCAGAGTCAGGACTTGACTCTGGATCCTCTGATAGCACATTTAGCACCTTTTCACTGTATCGCTCCAACCTGTTTTCTTCCCTTCTGAGATAAGTAAGTGTGCCGATTTGTTATAAACTTCTTTTTTGTTTGTTTGTTTTTTTACTTTATTTCAAATCTATTTGAAAAAAAGTACATCCTCAATTGTATGTATTTAATGAGATTCAAAAATATTTTGATCATAACATGTGTTATTTTAGCCATAGGAGAGGGCTAGGAATAATAATTAAAAGTTGAATTCGTATTTCAGATCTGTTTTTTTTAACTTTTTAAAAAATTTTATTAATTTATTTTGATTTATCAACAATCACTTCCATATGCTTTTGAGTTTAAAAATTTTCTCCCCCTTCCTCCCCAACCCCCTCTCCAAGACGACGCACAATCTCATATAGGCTCTACATTTACATGCCTATTAAACATATTTTCACATTAGTGAAGTCGTAAGTAAAAATTAAAACCAATAGGAGGAACCATCAGAAAGAGGAACCAAAAATTCAAGAGAAGAGAAAAAAATGATAGCAATTCAACTGCCATAGTTCTTTCTTTGGATGGGGACAGCATTTTTTACCACAGGGCCTCTGGAGATCTCTTAGATCCTCATAATGCTGAGAAGGGTTAAGTTTATCAATATTAGTTATCGCACAGCATGGCTGTGATTGTGTACAAAGTCCTCATGGTTCTGCTCACTTCACTCAGCATCAGACCATAGAACTCTTTTCAGGTTTTTCTGAAGTCAGCCTGTTCATCATTTCTTATAGCACAATAGTATTCTATTACATTCACATACCACAGCTTGCTCAGCCATTCCCCAATTGATGGGCATCCTCTCAATTTCCAATTCTTTGCCACCACAAAAAGAGCTGCTATGAATATTTTTGTGCATGTGGGTCCTTTCCCATTTGTATAATCTCTTTGGGATATAGCCCTAGAAGTGCTATAGCTGGATCAAAGGATATGCACATTTTTATAGCCCTTTGGGCATAGTTCCAAATTGTTCTCTAAAATGGTTAGATCATTTCACAACTCCACCAACAATGCATCAGTGTTCCAGTTTTCCCATGTCTTCTCCAATATTTATCATTTTCCTGTTTTGTTATGTTGGCCAATCTGGTTGTGATGTGGTACCTCAGAGTTGTTTTGATTTGCATTTCTCTAATCAATGATAATTTAGAGCATTTTTTCATATGACTATAGATGGCTTTAATTTCTTCATCTGAGAACTGTCTGCTGTTCATATCCTTTGACCATTTATCAATTGGAGAATGGCTTGTAGTCTTATAAATTTGTCTCAATTCTCTATATATTGTAGAAATGAGGCCTTTATCAGAGAGACTGGTTGTAAAAATTCTTTCCCAATTTTCTACCTTCCTTCTACTCTTAGTTGCATTGACTTTGTTTGTGCAAAAACTTTTCAGTTTAATGTAATCAAAATGATCCATTTTGCTTTTTGTAATGTTCTCTATCTCCTGTTTGGTCATGAATTCTTCTGTTCTCCATAGATCTGATAGATAAACTATTCCTTGTTCTCCCAGTTTACTTATGGTATCAGCCTTTATGTCTAAGTCCTGAACCCATTTTGACTTTATTTTGGTAAATGGTGTGAGATTTGGGTCTATGCCTAGTTTCTGCCATACTCTTTTCCAGTTTTCCCAGCAGTTTTTTTCAAAGAGTGGGTTCTTGTCCCAGAAGCTGGGGTCTTTGGGTTTATCAAATAATAGATTGCTATAGTCATTGATTACTGTGTCTTGCATATTTAACCTATTCCACTGATCCACCACTCTGTTTCTTAGCCAGTACCAAGCTGTTTTGATGATTGCTGCTTTATAATACAATTTAAGATCTGGAATTGCTAGGCCACCTTCCCCTGCATTTCTTTTCATTAGTTCCTTTGATATTCTGGACCTTTTGTTCTTCCAAATGAATCTTGTTATTATTTTTTCTAACTCTATAAAATAATTTTTTGGTAGTTTGATTGGTATGGCACAGAATAAGTAAATTAGCTTAGGTAGGATTGTCATTTTTATTATATTAGCTTGGCCTACCCATGAGAAACTGATGTTTTTCCAATTATTTATATCTGATTTTATTTGTGTGAAAAGTGTTTTGCAATTGTGATCATAGAGTTCTTGGGTTTGTTTCGGGAGGTAGACTCCTAAATATTTTATAATGTCCATAGTAAGTTTAAATGGGATTTCTCTTTCTATCTCTTGCTGTTGGGCTTTCTTGGTAATATACAGAAATGCCAATGATTTATGTGGGTTTATTTTATAGCCTGCAACTTTGCTCAAGTTGTTTATTATTTCAAGTAGTTTATTACTTGATTCTCTAGGATTTTCTAAGTATGTCATCATGTCATCTGCAAAGAGTGAT